TGGTTTTGTTCTATTTCAGTGCTTTTAGAAGAAGGAAATAGGAGAACTAGGGGAATATATTGGGAAGGAAAGAAGGGTGAATGGCCTTTACTATCTCACATGATAGGGGTTCATGATTTAAAGATATTTGAACATGGAACAGGAAATAGGAGAACAAAGGAGTAGGGAAATGGGTATCACGCAAGCTTCATTTTCATTTGAATCAGCTGAAAGAATATAGCATAGAATACATTAATCTTAACTGATTAATAGGAGGGTCAGGGAGAAGGGAGTTTATGATGAAGGCACGGTAGATAAGATCATAAGTAAAACAAACTACCACATTGGCAGGTGGAACATGGAAGGGAGATTAAAAAGGAAAAAAAAAGGAAGCTTAAAGATGTGATCAAGGGCAGGGGAAGGGGAAGAAAAAAGGAGAAAACGAAGTAAAAAGAGATTTCCTTAGTCATAGATTACTACTATTAAAACAAACTCAAACTTTTTAATCACTTTCAGTCTTTGTAAAGAGATGAGAGAGGTGAGCAAAGAGAGGAAAAAGTATAAGATGACAGAATGGTGGGAAATACACAATTCACAATCATAACTTTGAATGGGTTGAACTGACCCATAAAATGGAAGGTAATAGGATGAATTATTAAGTAGAGTCCAAAAATAGACTTGAAACATAAAGATTCATGGAATTAAAATTAGGAGCTGGATCAAAGTCTCTTAAACTTTGAGTGAATTCAAAGGGTTTGCAATATTGATTTTAGATTGGGAAACAGTAAAGATGATTAAGTAGGCAAACTACATAAGGCTTAAAGGTATCATTGATAATGAATTAATGTCAATCCATAATGCTATTCACACAGAAATAGTTAAATGAAAATTAATTGAGTTAGAAGCAGAAATAGATAGTAAGTCTGTAATAATGGATGACCTCAGTGGATAAATTTGACAAGATAGACAAGAAAAAAAGTAAGATCCTGAATACAATCTAAGAAAAAATAGAACTGATTAATATTTAGAAATTATGACATGGGAACAGAAAGGAGTATATATATTTCTTGGATTGCATGACATCTTTAAAAAAATTGACTATATATTGAGGCATTAAAAAACACAAAAAAGTACAGAAAAGCAAGAATATTAAATATCCTGTACTAAAAATTGTAAAATAAAAATTATATTCAATATAATACACTTGAATAAAGGAATAAAATTAATGAACCCTAAATAATTTAGTGTTGAAGAATTGGTGGATCAAAGAATAATTCCTATAAAATATAAAAAATTTCAAAAAATAAAGTGACAACAATGAAATGACATATCAAAACCTTATTGGAGAGAGATGGGGAATATGAATGAACTGGGTCTGAAATTTTAAAAATAGAAAATCAGCAATCAGAATACTAAACACCAAATAAAAAATGGTGAAAACCAAAGAAGTTAAAATTGAAAGAAAAAAATGTTATTAATAGATAAAGCTAGAGTAAAAACAACTGAAAATAAATATCTAGCCTTAATGAAGAGATATAAAAAAGTTTGCATCAAAAATTAAAAAGGAAAATCCACAAAAGAAACTCTACACAACTATTTTATCCAAATATATAACAAAAAGCTAATAATTGAGCTGAAATTATAAATATTTTTAAAAATATAAAATACCTTGATTAACATACCCATACTGTTTGAATAAGCAAATTCCAGAAGCTTAACTTAAATAAGACATAAGTGAACTCCCAAAAGGGGAAAAAAAACAAACCTCTCCAATGGATTTACAAATGAGTCCTATCAAACATTCAAGCAAAAATTTATTCAAGTTTCATATAAGCATCATATGATTATTTTAGTAGATATAGAAAAGGCTTTTAACAAAATACAACACCTATTTCTGTTTCAAACACCCCAGAAAATACAGGAATAAAATGACCTTGCATTGATATGGTTTAATAGTACATATTTAAACTGAGAGCCAGTAATCTATGTAATGAGGACAAACTAGTACTTTTCACTATGATCGCTACTATTTAATAAAATGTTGGAATTGTTTGTTATAGCAATGGGAAAAGAAAAGGAAACTGATCGAATAAGCATACGCAGAGAGAAAACAAAATTATCACTTTTTTGCAGATGATTTGATGATGTACTTAAAGAACTTTAGTCAACAAAAATTAATGAGAACAATAACTTCAGCCAAGTTGCCGGATATGAAAAAATCAACATATTTTTTAATATTAGCAGTAAAACTCAGTAGAAATAGATAAAAAGAGAGAAATTACCTTTTAAATAACTACAAATATATAAAAATGTGTGTTTTTCTACCAGGATATTTTCAGGAACTATTGAATATGACTATAAAGCACTGTTTAAAAAAATCAAGACAGATCTAAATAATTGAAGAAATATTATTTACTTATTGGTAGACCATGCCAATATAAGGAAAATGACAAAAGTGCTTAAATTATTTTACTTGTCCAGTATCATACCAAACTAGTGAAGGATTATTTGTAGAGCTATCAAAATAATAATAAAAGATGAAAAATCTTAGGGGAAATATGTCTTTATTATCACAGTGGAAAATAATAAAATGTTGGGGATCATAAGAGTTTTGGCGTTTCATTTAGAGAGAAAATGGTGGAGGGAAGGCTGAGAGACAAATGTCTTCCACTCTTCACACAGCCTTCCTTGGTTCAAGGAGCAATTTCCTGGGATTAAACAGAAGCAAATGACTTTGTCTCTGTTTCTCAGAGATCAGTCTAGCCTGGCAGGCTTCCTCAGGGAAGCTACAGTAGCTGATGTGATGGGCCCAAATTGGTCTCTATTTTGTAGTGTGGAGCTACTATGCTTGGTGCCTCTGCATGTCATTTGTCCTCTCTTTTGTCCCACCACCACCACCACCAACCTGAGCTGTGTGATCCCCAAAGAAAACCCTAGATATTTGGCCTTTTTGTTTATTCTTTTCTGTTCTAGGCACAGAGGGTAGATTCTTCAATCTAGCCCAGAAGCTTGAGTAATGAGGATTCAGGGGTCTTGGAATCTAGGCCAGGTGTTGCACCTAGCCCAGCATCAAGGCTGAAAGAAGCGAGGATCCCAGGACTGGAGCCAGATCAAATTTAGACTTGAACTTGGTGGGATCAATGATGTTTAGGAACTGAGTTGTGAGCCTAATTCCCCCCACCCCCATAGGCTAAGATGGTTTAGGAGGGGATTATGCCCCTGTGGTGCTGGGGGTAAATATTTGTGTGTTTGTTCTTGCTATGTATTTGAAATAACTATCTTTTTGTAAAAGCTAAGCTGATATTAAGATAATCAAGGTGCTAACTGCTAGGTCCCTAAAAATGGGAGGAACGTGGTTGATCAGAAGTTGAGTCAATGATAGAGAAGAGATACTCTCCACCCCCTTCAGGGTACTAGAGAAAATTGTTCAGCTATAGCAATAAGAGATAGAAGCTCAGTAAAATATAAAAAACATGGTCCTGAATCATGAGGCCAGAGTCAATCATATTACACAGAATAGACTTGTCTTTTTAGTAGCAGGCCAGGCAAGTCTGAAATGCTCAGTTGTAAAAACTTTCTCAAACTATTCATTCCCTTCCTTCTTTTTTTGGGGGGGGGGGCAATTGGAGTTAAATGACTTGCCCAGGGTCACACAGCTAGTGTCAAGTGTTTAGTCTGAGGCCGGATTTGAACTCAGAGGTCCTCCTGACTTTAGGGCCGGTGCTCTATCCACTGCACCATCTAGCTACCCCTTATTCCTTCTTTCTTTAGTTTGGAGCTTGCCTCTCTCCCATTTGTCTTCATCTGGCACATTGTTTCCCAGTCTTATTAGTATTCTTCCTCTAGTTCTGAGAGATTCATAGTATCATCCAATTTGTCTTCTAACTCTTCCACTCTCAGCCATTTTGTCTTCAAATGAATGACAACAATCCTGAAAGTATTCATCTTCTTGCTCTCCCAGTACATTATGCTGCAATATCATATACCCGGGGGCTATAATTAACCCTTAAACCATTAAGTAAGTATTCAGGAGGCCTAGGATCTCTCCTGTATGTTGGCTAGAGAGGGAGGGGTAATAGGAGATAAAAATAGAAATGGCAGCCTGTCACGCCCAAAGAAACCTAGATTTTACACTTTCCCTTTACATTTTACTTTACACTTTCTCCATAACTCTCTCAGATAAAAAGTATTTTAAAAGTTTGTTTTAAATTTACCTTCCTTTATTCATTCACCAAATAATTATTGAATGTTTTATGTATAAGACATTAGTATGTCTGATATTACATGTGTATATGATTTTTATTCCATTTCCAGAAAAGTGAATATGTTTGTGGCCTCTACAAAATAACGTTTAAATGATTAGCAAACAAGAATTAACAACTTTGATCTTTGAACTCTGCAAGTTATCATAAAATATTATCCCAGTATTAATATTAATATTAATGTTAGAAAGTAGACTTCGAAGTATGATGGCAGTAATTAAATATTTCCAATTCGATAGTACAGAAGATCTAAGGTTAAATTGGTATGGATATTTCCTCTATCCAGACAGATTAATTTTTTTTTTATTCTTGATAGGTCATTTCATCAGTTGTTGCCAAATAAAAAATTATCACTAGTGACCAATCTGCTTGTGATTACGTTTCTCTGACTCTAGCTAAGCTGTTTGATGGGATCTTCCAGATAGTATTGGGCTGTGCTTGATACAACAAAATGTCAAAGTAGGATATTAGCATAGGTTGCAAATGTTGTAAACTTTAATTGCTTTGAAATCAGTTCCAAGAATCCTGCATTCCTGATAATCAGTTGCCTATGCAGTTGATTTTCAGTTTCGATTCATTGACTTATCATATATAGAAAAATTTCCATTTAAATTAGTGTGCTACTACTATGTATACTAGACCAGTCTTCGATATTATAGAGTTAAATTGCAAACGACCAAACTCAGTACTTGGCAATCCATCCAATAAAGCAATGTACCGAAAGAAAATTCAGTTTTTTTCCTTATCTCTCTTTTAAAGAAATTGTCCCAGTTGAGTGCCTCCCTGGTTCAAAACTTTGTGCTGATACTCTAAACTGTGTACCTGAACAACTATTTTGTGATGGAGAACCAAACTGTCCTGATGCTTCTGATGAAAGCAGTAGAATTTGTGGTAAGTAGTTTTATGTGCAAGTTTATATGTGTATTTATCAATTTATCAATTTATCGACTCTACACTGTCATATTCTTTTGAGTACCTCACCTCCTTATTGTGTTGTTGACCTCACCCTTAGCCTTAGATTACTTCCCATCATCTACACAGTTTTTGCTCCTTCTCACATTTTGGATCACAAAGCTGGAGAAAATCACAAAACAGTATAACTAGGTCTACTAAAAATTTATGTTGTATCATCTCAACTGGACCCTCACTGAAACAAGGGTTTTATACCTCCGTAATTGATCCACTATTTCCAATCACTGGAAGATTGCCCCCTCTAATATCCCCCCTCTCTCACTTATTGTCATTCTCTATCTGCTGGTTACTTAATTCCTGCCTACAAAGCCTATATCTCCTCCATTCTCAAAAAGTCCTTATTTGACCCATCTATCTTTGCTAGCTATTCTATATCCTCCTCCCTTTTCTACTTCCTTTCCTTTCATTCCACACTTTCTGTCGAGGCCTCTGAGCTCAATATTCAACTGAAACTGCTCTTTCCAAAGTTACTAATGATCTCTTAATTGCCAAAATCAGGCTTTTCCCAATCCTCACCTTTCTCAACCTCTCTGCAGCTTTTGACACCATTGATAACCTTATTCTTCTTGATGCTCTCTTCTCTATAGATTTTCCACTGCTAACCTCCAGTTTTCCTCCCTATCTGACTGCTCCTCAGTCTCCTTTCATGGATCTTCATCCAGGTTATGCTTGCTAACCATGGATATCTCCCAGGGCTTTGTCCTGGGCCCTCTTCTCTTCTTCTATTTCACCTAATGATCTCATCAGCTCCCATGCTGATGATATCTGTACTAATAATTCTCAAATCTACTTATTTAGCACTAATTTCTCTGCTGACCTGCAATCTCAATTCTCCAATTGCCTATTGGAGATCACAGCCTGAATGTTGCATAGCCATTTTAAAATCAACATATCCAAAACAGAACTTACTGTCTTCCCCCCAAACCCTTTCCCTTTTACTAAATTCCTTCCCTATTACCATAAAGGTGCCCCCATCCTCTCAGGATCCCAAGACTTAACTCCTCATTTTCTCAACACCCATATCCAATCTGCTGCCTAAGTTCTCCAGTGTTATCTCTAGTACACACCCTCTTGTCTCCTCTGACACTGCCACCACTGTGGTGTGGGTCTTCATCACCTCACACAGAGCTTATTGCAGTAGTCTTTCTAATTAACATCTCTGCCAGAAATCTCTCCTCACTACTATCCTCCACTCAGCTGTCAAATTGATTTTCCTAAAAGGCATGTCTGACCACATCACCTCACTACTCAGTAAAATTCAGTGGTTCCAAATTACTTCCAGAATCAAACATAAAACCTTCTAGTTGATATTTGAAGCCTTTTGTAACCAGCTTCCTAACTTTTCAGTCTTCTTATACTTTATTCATCCCTATATACTCCCCATATACCCTGAAATCCCTAACCCCCTTATATCACTGATTATGCCCAGCCAAATCTCAGCCTTGGATCACTTCCATCTTTCATTGTCTTGACTCCAAACACATGCTGCCGTGCCAAAGTGGAGAAACTCATGCAACCATTCTGACTGGGTCCATTACAAATTTATATTATATAACCTCCATTGGACCCTCACTGCTTCTAAGCAATTCTATTATACATCATTAATAACTCACTATCCCACTCTCCACAATAGCTTTTCTAAATTTTTACATCCCCCCTCAAACCTCCAATGGGCCCCTCTCATATTTTCCCCTCAGCAGAGAACTTTGCCTCATATTTTTACAGAAAATTTGAGGCTGTTCATCCCGAGCACCCTTTTCTCTCTTCTTCACCTCCAATCACTCAATTGCTATCTGCCACTTTCTCCTCCTCCACCAGTGTCTCACATAATGAAATGGCCTTACTCCTTACTAAGGTTAACCCTACTACTTATTCAAGCAATCCCATTCTATCCCATCTCTTCCAACAGATTGTCCATTCAGTCGTCCTTAGTCTTTCATTTATTTTCTTTTAAAAATTTATTACTTATTTATAAATAACATTCATTTTAAAAATTTTCTGCTTCCAAATTCTCTCCCTCCCTCCATCCCTTTCCCCACCTATTGCAAAGGCAAGCAATATGATAACAATGTGAAATTATGGAAAAAGTTTTCATATTAGCCATGTTGCACACACACACACAAACAAGAAAAATAAAGAAAGTGACAAAATTATACTTCATTTAGTACTCAAAGTTCCTCAGTTCTCTCTCTGGAGGTAGAGAGCATTTTGTATCATGAATCTTTAGGAGTTTTCTTGGATTATTGTACTGATCAGAGTAGCTGTGGAAGAATGAAGTATAATAGTTGCTGTGACTATGTACAATGATCTACAGCTTCTGTTTACTTCACTCTGTATCAATTCATATAAGTCTTGCCAGGTTTTTTTAGAGCTATCCCCCTTGTGGTTTCTTATAGCACAGTAGTTTTCTATCACAATTATATACCACAACTTGTTCAGTCGTTCTCCAATTGATGGGCATTCCCTCAAATTCCAAATCTTTTCTATCACAAAAAAGAGCAACCATAACTATTTTTTTATAAATAGGTTTTTTCCCTTTTTCTTCGAACTCTTTGGGACACAGACCAAGTAGTAGTATTGCTGAGTCAAAGAGTGTGTACAGTTTTATAGCCCCTTGAGCATAGTTCCAAATTGTGCTCCAGAATGATTAGACCAATTCACAACTCTACCAACTGTGTATTAGTGTCTCTGTCTGAAAGCTACCTGTTCATATCCTTTGACCTTTTCTCAATGGCTCTTATTTTTATAAATTCTTAATTCCCTATATATTTGAGAAATGAGACTTTTATCAGAGAATTTTGTTGTTGTTGTTGTTCAGTCAGTCAGTTGTGTCTGGCTCTTCCTGACCCTGTGGATCAACTATCCATGGGGTTTTCTTGGCAAAAATATTGGAGTGGTTTGATATTTCCTTCTCTAGTGGATCTTTTTATCAGGCAATCAGGAATTAAGTGACTTGCCCAGGGTCACACAGCTAGGAAGTATCTGAGGCTGGATTAGAACTTAGGTCTTCCTGACTCCAGGCTCAGTACTTTACCCACTGAGCCACCAAATGCCTCTTTATCAGAGAAACTTGCTGTGAAGTTTTCCCCAGTTTCCTGCTTTTCTTTTAATTTTGATTTTATTGGTTTTGTTCATGTAAACAGTTTAATTTCATGTAATCAAAATTATCCATTTTACTTCCCATTATCTTCTGTATCTCTTGTTTGTTCACAAACTCCTCCTTTATCTACAGATCTAACAGATAAATTTTCCCATGCTCCTCTAATTTACTTATGATATCACCCTTTATGTCTAAATCATGTACACATTTCGACCTTAGTATACAGTGTGAAATGTTGGTCTATTCTTAGTTTCTTCCAAAAGACTTTCCAATTTTCCCAGAAGTTTTTGTCAAAAAGTAAGTTCTTGTCCCCAAAGCTTGGATCTTTGGATTTTACTACTATGTATTGTGTACATAATCTATTCCACTGATTCACCACTCTATTTCCTATCCGGTACCATTTGTTTTGATGATTATTAGTTTATTGTATATTTTGAAATCTGGTACATCTAGGCCACTTTCCTTCATATTTTTTTGCATTGATTCCTTTGATATTCTTCAGCTTTTATTCTTCCAGTTGACTTTTGTTAGTTTTCCTAGATCTACGAAATAATTCTTTGGTAGTTTGATTGATGTGGCACTGAATAAGTAAAATAATTTACATAAAATTGTCATTTTTATTACATTGGCTCAGCTTATCCATGAGCAATTAATATCTTTCCATTTGTTTAGATCTGTCTTTATTTGTGTGAAAAGTGTTTTGTAATTGTGTCCATATAGTTCCAACATGTATTTTGGCAGGTAGACTTCCAGGTATTTTATGTTGTCTGCAGTTATTTTAAGTGGAATTTCTTTCTGTCTCTTCCTGCTGGGCTTTGTTGGTAGTGTATAGAAATGCTGATAATTTATGAGGGTTTATTTTATATCCTGCAACTTTGCTAAAGGTGTTAATTATTTTAACAAGTTTTTTAGTTGCTTTTCTAGGATTTTCTAAGTATGCCATCATATCATCTGCAAAGAGTGATAGTTTTGTTTCCTCATTGTGTATTCTAATTCCTTCGATTTCTTTTTCTTGTCATTGCTATAGCTAGCATTTCTAGTACAATATTGAATAATAGTGGTGATAATAGACATCGTTGCTTTACCCCTGATCTTATTGGGAAGGATTCTGTTTTATTTTCATTACAGATAAAGCTTTCCCCTCCTTCTTCCCTGTTCGGCAAGATGAATTTCTACACTCAACTGAATGTGTATGTTTTTTCCTCTTTGAACTAGTACAGATAAGAATGAGGTTCAAACATTGCTCACTCTCTCCTACCCGCATTTTCAACTCCATTGTAAAAACTATTCCTTGTGTGCCTCTTTCTTGTGAAATAATCTTCCTCTCCCTTCCTACTCCTCCAGTTGTATCCTTCTTTCTCACATATCCATTTTTCTTTTGCAATCATTCCAACATAATATACTCATGCCCATTCTCTCTAAGTAAACTACTGCCCTAATGATGATAAAGTTCTTGGGGAGGGAGGGTACATGTGTCATCTTCACATTTAGAAATATAAACAGTTTAACCTTATTAAATTTCTCATGATTTCTTATTCATATTTGCCTTTTTATGCCTTTATCAAGTCTTGTATTTAAAAGTCAAATTTTCTATTTGGTTCTATTCAGTTCTTTTCATCAGGAAAGCTTGGAAGTTCTCTACTTCATTAAATGTCCATTCCCGCCCCTGGTAGGATTATACTCAGTTTTGCTGGGTAGGTTAGTTTTGGTAGTAATCATAGCTCCTTTGCCTTCCAGAATATGACAGACATCTCAAGGTCTAAATAGATTAGTATGTGGTTTTTATGAGTTGTATTGACTAAAATTTAAAAAAAATTATTGCAATAAAACTAGTAACTTTGTTTGAAGATACAATATAATCATTTATTTAGAACCTAACTCAACATGAATGGCCCAGGTACTCTTTAGGGACTTCTTCCTCTTCTAGTTTATTAACCCCACTTAGATGATGTTGGTTTGGTATTGGGTACTTCCCAATTTCCATTCACAAAATTTAAAGGATGAGCCCTATAGGATCAACAGAATGAGGCTCATAAAAGAAAGGAAGCAGAAGATGGTCCAAATAAGGTCAAGAAGATTTGTGAGATAATTTAGATTCTTGGGATCAACAAATTATATATATTTATGTATATTATATATGTTAATAAAATATATATAAATAAATGTATAAATTAATAAATACACATTGCTGTAACTGTGCATTGTGAGGACAACCTTGCATTGAAACATGTTGTATAAGATGCCATGCTACATGATAAAGTAAATACAAAGGAATGTAATAGATGATACTTTCCTTCAAGAAGCTCGTAGTATGGTTGTAGAACAATACCTACCTACACATGAAAAGTTAACTAACCATGAAAGACAAGAAATAAATGCCATTTTACTAGCACAGAAAATAAATTCCATTAAAGAGTTCACTTCTGGCTAGTCTACCTAGAGAAAGGTTTTAAGTTATAGGACTTGAAATGGTACTTGAAGGATGCATAGAATATCAATAGCCAGAAAATAGACAGGTTTTGTGTAGATGACTAGCAGAAAGGCTAATATGGTGAAAAGAAGTTCAGAGGTAGGGAATCTGTAGCTTCAAGGCCACATGTGGCCCTCTAGGTCCTCAAGTGTGGCCCTTTGACTGAAGCCAAAATTTCACAGGACAAATCCCCTTGATAAAAGGATTTGTTCTGTAAAACTTGGAGTCAGTCAAAAGGCCCCACCCAAAGACCTAGAAAGGGGCATGTGGTTCCCCACCCCAGAAGATAGATTTATCTAAAGGCTGACAGGAAGGAAACAAGCATTTATTAAGCACCTACTATATGCCAGATACTGAGCTAAGCACTTTACAAATATTATCTCAATCTTGGGAAGTTGGTGCTGTAATGATTCCCATTTTACAGTTGAAGAAACTGAGGCAGAGAGAGGTTGCACAGGGGCATACAAGCTAGTAAATGTTTGAAGCCAGATTTGAACTCGTTTTTCTGACTGTGGGCCCAGTACTCTACTCTGTAAGGTTGCTAGCACAAGCTAAAAATAGACACAACACTGCTCTTAAGGAGACCATAATCCAATTAGTGAAATTAAAATAATTTAAAACTTTGGGAGATATTTTCAGACATGACTGACAGATATTAATTGCCCCCTTTTTGCAGCTACAGCTTGTGATGGAAATTTTATGTTGACTGGTTCTACTGGATATTTTCATTCACTTAATTATCCAAAACCTCTCGACTCAAATACCTTTTGCCAGTGGATTATACGGTATGTAATGTAATATTACTACTTCTTCTGAAGTAATGAAAACTATTTTTGGCATACTGTTACTAATTTATGTTATATTTTCATTTTCAACGGAAATGAATCCTATTCCTGCAAATTTTATTCTTGCTTCTAACACTTAAAATAAGTATTCTGCCCTTTGTAATTAATTCAATGTGCCTAAGAAAGAAGGCTATCTTATTTATCTCTCCTCTTCTATTACCATTTTAAGAGAATATCAGATATTCTGAAGGTAAAGACCTTGGTATTCATCTTGTATCTCTGTTTATAGTAGTTTGAATTTGAAAGGTGTCTAGTACAATGACACATTTAGAGTAGTTTAATGGCTAAAAACCTTTTTCAACATATGTTGTTCTATATCTTGACTCTCAACCAATTCAGTCATTCATATACAATGAGACCCAAACTATTAATTGGGCTGCCAAATTGCATAACCAAAATAACTTAAGGAGAAATGGTTTACTCTATTCTTTTTTATTTCAAAAGGAAAATTAGATTAACTAGGTTTCTATTTGATCTACTTATTCAGTGCTTAACAGCTATCATGGATGAATAGACCATTATGATAAATTGGCTTAGTCTCAACAAATACACAACAGAAAATAATCTGCCAGATGGATTCTTACAGAAATGTAACTCATTAATTCAAAATAAGATGCTTCGTAATGGTATGGAGCTGATCTCAGGTTCTCAGATTTTTTGCCAATGAAACAAAAGCCCCAGCAGATTTTTATCATGCTGAAATGACTTCAGTTATGGTTCTAGAAACAAATTATTTCTGTTTTCCTGATGTCAGCTTCACTGCCAGAAGCTCATCACCGGTAGTTTTTTAGCAATGAATTGGCCATGGCAACCCATGAAACAAAGAAATATAAAATAGTCCTGTGCAATGCCTTTCTTCTTCTGCAGTGATAGTACCAGAGTGAGAGAAAACAGAGCAGAGTATACTAAGAATTGCACAATTTTTTGAACCATCTCTAACCAACAAGTGGAGGAACACAGTAGTAACAAGAAACAGCTGGCAAAAAGAAGTTGCAACTAAATGGAAAAATAGTTCCCAGGTTCTTCTTAGAGAAGAAAATAAAAGAATTGCTGCAGTTGTTTTTATTATATCAGAGAGATATTTTTAAAAATACCATTTTAATGGGGGCACATGGTTATCACATGCTACAATACACATGATAAACATTTTGCAAACTGTTTATGATAATTTATTATTATTATGTTTTTATTATATTAAGTTCAAGATAATTGCAAATTAAATGCCAACATAGATTACAGAATATAAAGAATGAGGATGATGAGCAGATAGAAAATTTTATGCAGAACTGGATAAAACTGTCTACATTAAATCAACATTTAATGCTTAGTGACTTAAATGTAAAGGTGAGTATAGGGAACAATAGTGAAAAATATGTTGGAAAATGCTGTTCAAGTAAGAAAGAATGCTGTGCGTACACTCCTATAATTCTTGCTGCTGGGGAGACTGATCCTGGTGGATTATTTGAGGTGCTGAGTTCCAAGGTGCAGCAGGACTAAAGCCAATTAGGAGTACACTCTGTCACCAGTATAGTGAGCTCCCAGAAGTGGGGTGCCACCAGTCTGCCTGAAGAAGGGCAAACTGACTTAGGTCAGAAACAGGACACAACTTCCGTGCCAATCAGCTTTGGGATTAGACCTGTGAGTATCCACTGCCCTTGCAGCCTATTCTCTGAAACAAGGAGACCAACCTAATAATCCAATCCAATAAACATTTATTAAGTACCCACAACATGCCAGGCATTGTTGTTAAGCTCTGGGGATACAATTAATAAAAAGAAAGACAGTCCCTGCCCTCAACGAGCTTATAACCTAAAAGTCTAGACAGCACACAAAAGGTGGCAGGGAAAAGTTGGGAAGAGGAGGGGGACAGGACACTGGGAGGTAGCAGTGTGGGAGCATCCTGATCTGTGGAGTTGAAACCAGGCAGGGCAGTGGATACAAAGTGTAAAAAGTGAAGAGACACAGTCTCAAAAAAACGTAAGAAATGAAATATGAGAAGCCAAATATTACCTACCTGTCGAAAAGCCTTCTGACCATGTCTCATTTCCTTATCTCTCCTCAAGAAGAAAGTAACAAGGTCCTAGTGAGCACTGAATAACATTATAAAAAATCAATTGCTTATCGCAGGATCACATAGTAGGAAAGAACCTGAGAGACCAGTTAGTACAACTTTGATCTGGTCAAGAATCCTCTCTACAACATACCTGACAAACAGTCATCTTACATGATCTTGAAGGCTTCAAGTGAAGGTGAAGCCATGACCTCTTGGGGAAGGCCATTCTGTTTTTAGATAATTCTAATTGTTAGGAAGGCCAATTGTTAGGCATTTTCCCTTAAATTGTGTTTTACCTGACTGGAGATGGCTGGTTAAAAAGATGATTTATTTCTGAATCAGCTGTCTATACAGAGTCAAAGCCATAACTTTTTCAGAACAAAAATAAAAATCAATACCAAATTAGAAAGAAAAGAAATAAGTAACATACAGTTGAGTAACTCCAACCTAACTTAAGAATAATCCATGTACATAAGGAATGTGTCCTTGATGAAAATATGAGAAAAGTACAGATAGATATTCACAGGTGATATTCCATGAAAGCTTTCTTCTTTATAGTCATACAATTGACTAAGGTGGTAAGAATATAAGATCTTAGCATGTTTATCATCTTTGCCTATAAAAAAATGGATTCAGTACAGCACCATGCTACCTTAAAAGTTTTTCTCCAACAATGTATCTCCTAAGCATATGTCAAAATAATTTAATATTTCTTGAAAGATATAAGTGGTTTTGTTCAATGAAACTGATTATTAATATCAAATGAGTATAAAACAGGGAGAAAAGCTTGCATAAAGTGTTTGCCACTAACATGAAGTATAATCGAATTCTGACAGTAGAGGGATTCACTATAGATTCTGAATATCCAGCTGATCCTCCTATTTGCAGATCACATTCTAAACCCCATAAAGTTGCAGAATGTCATCAATGAGGTGCATAATAACTGAAAAGAGTTCATCCAATCTATACAAACAGGAAAAATCAAATTGATAAACATGTATATTGTCCAGGCTATGATGTGTAATTCGATGGATACCCATAGAACTGATTCATTCATACATGTATGTTAACAGGTGCTGCATATATTCAATGAACTTGACTCAGTTGTTTGTAAATGGCTATTGCAGTTTCGCTGTGGAAAATAGTACCCTATTCTTTTTTCAAAATGTCAGCAGAAATGCTCTAAGTCATCTATAATCTCATCAATGTTGATATTTTTTCAGTGATGCAGATTGCAACCCATTCAGATCTTTCTATACTGTAATACTCCCATACATGTCTTCTCATGGTTCTAAAACAGGGCATCCACCCAAGAGCTGCAGGTATTTCTCACATTCTCTTGACATCAGAAATATTCAAATGGATTATATAGCCAGTCATTGGTTACCTCTTAGTCTTCCTGTATGACTGGATCATTTATTTTCAGTATTTATTTCTTTGGTTGCATTCTTTATACCAATACTTCTGTGTAAGTTCTTCTTTGTAAGGTACCTGCCCTCCAGGTTCACCTCCGTTGACCTTTGGGTGGTTCTCAGTTAAAGTGCCTTAGAAACTGTAGTATTCCATGAATCTCAAGAAGAACATTTGCATTAAAAGAAAAAAAAGATGGGTCGTTACTTCATGGAGGAGTTTAAGGTCATTAGCAGAACTGCACAATTTTTCGAAGACAATGTAGCCAACTCTCACCCTCTTCACACTGAATTCTGGGCCCACATCAAGGAACATTTACAGTATCTTTCCAACTGATCAATGAGCTTTATAAGTTATTCATCAAACTGTATGAGTCTGGACAATAAATGTTCTTCATTCACTTAATTTTTCCCCATTTAAATAGTTAGAACAAACTGTTCTGAGTGATTACAGATCACTTTTATGACATAGTAGTGCCATATTCTGGTCCTTAATGCAATTAGGAACATCTTGAAGACCACATTATCTACAGGGAAACTATATCCCATTTGGATTCTACGCTGGATCTTCATGACAGTGGCAAATATTTTCAGTGAGCCTATCAAAAGACAATTGAACAAGCTTATCTCTGTTGTTAATTCTTTCAAGGAATCTTGTGTAATTGGGAGTGCCTGGAAGACAATGCTTTACCAAATCAAATTCTTCATTTGTACTCAAAAACAGTAAACATGGTGGGATTACTCTATTCTCTATATCTTTCGATCAATTGTGTGATGGTAAAGAAGAAGCTTTTATTCTAATACCCTCAACAAGGATCCCCTTAATACATATTTGTATTATTCTCATAAAGTCTTTGCATAGATGGTTAATTAGACATTCACATTCTTTTGTTCACCTTTTGAGGCTAGATAGTAGTAAGATCCAAGATTTTCTTTTTCAGTTTTTTGTCCATGTTTTGTTCTTTCCTTCAAGTAATTTGAGAATCTGTTCCTCAATGTCCCCATATTGTATTGCATCCAGAACAGACTTCCTTTTTATAAAACTGATCCAATCCCACTGCTCATTTTTTTGTTTCTTTCAATGATATTTTTACTGCCTCAAGAAGAATATCCAGGATTGTAATATGAGAGTCCAAATGTGTTATGTCTATTTCATGGTCTACTTGATGGTCAAAAGCTTGTCAAAAAAATCTTTCTAGATTTTTTTTCTATCTTTTATCTGATTATAGTCCTCTTTCCAAATCTCATCCATAAATGTCCTTGGATTAACTTTGCTTAGTCTGGTTGCTCTTCTGTACCCATTGCCTTCTGGGTTACCCCACTAGAGTTCAGTATCTACTCCTATAGGTTTTAGGGTAGTCTTGGAGTTTGAAATCCTCATCATGAGCCTCAACTGATATGCTTTCCATTATCAGTCAGTCAGTATATGATTAGCTCATTAAAAAAAGCCATTTGCTAAAATGGTAGAGTAAGAACAG